GGGGGGGGGGGGGGGGTGTCTGCCTGTATGATTGACCCGGTTATAGTGGTCACTATCAAAACAGGTTTTACAATTTCAAGAGTGGAAAACAGCAATGTTTACCTGTTGTATATATGTAGAGGTCAAAAAACAGCATTGGGCTTTCAAAATATATAGCATAATACAAATTAAAACTTTCTTGCTCAATACTAGTTAAGTTAGTAGAATCACTACTTTTAGTTCGCTACCACCCAGTACCTAGTCAAAAAGAATGGGCTCCATTTATGCTATGGTGTGAATAATATTCTCTTTTATCGGTTTATCCTCTATCTTTTTTTACATTTCCTTCTGTTCCTCACTTAACAGGGAAAAGCACAATTTTAGAAGCATCTGCTGAGCAAAATTTCTCCCTGGATAAAAAGACGAAAGAAAAAAATACAGCAAACAGATGGCGCCTCAAGGTTCAGATGATTAGAGGTTGCAGATTGAAATACAAATTGGATTAAAAGAAATTAGACTAATAAAAATCCAATCGCATGGCAAGTGCAAGCATATTCACCTCAGTCATGTAAAAGTCTCTGCCAATGGCTGTTGATTAGAAGCTAAACAGATGCTCCGGTGAGATAGCAGTTAATATACAGTATGTGTGTGTATGTGCGTTCTTGGCAAACATGGTCCCCCCCATCATCCTCTTATCTTGACCCACCCCATTTATCCATGTCATAATGTTAATTAGTGGTTTCTTCATTTAGTGACTTACAATATCAAAATGAACTTGTTTCTGATTGCTGAAAGCGGGACATAAACCTCAATCAGAAACAAAATGTTATAAACATTCGTGTTCATTCATTAAAAATCGGTGTGTGTGTGTAAATCAATTCTGAATTTAATTAGATCCAGAAGAACATGCATGAATACACCAAGGTTGCATCAGTGTTCCAACCTTAAATGAGTTTGACACCTCAGGTTTTGAGGGATGCAGACTGCCAAGAGGGAGGGAGAAGGAGAAATGCAAGAGGCAGTGAGAGAGAGCAAAATCAGTGTATCTGCAAACTTCAGCAGAGCTCGGTTTCATAGTATGCAGCACAAGTTAACTTAAACATGAAACCTGGAGGGTACAGGATAAGATATCGCCCTGTCTGTAGCAATTCCCTTGTGTGACCCCCAAGTCTGCTCTGGGTCCTGTGTGTGGCCCCACTTAGACAGCAGACAGCTGGAATGATCACTAATCAATGAGAGGGAAATGGCAGGAATTAGCACAAATTAGGTGAAGTGGGAGTCCTCGCTCCCTTTAATTGAGTCCATACTGAGAGAGAACGAACCTTTAGAGCACACTAAGACTCAGCAAAATATATTTGCATACAAACAAACAAGCTTACTTCTCTGCTCTGCTGTGTCCTGTTCCAACTGGGAAGAGACAGCGTGGGTATCACATTTAGAAGTGATCCTAAACACCCTAAACAAATGCTCTCTTTTACTGCAGTTCCATACATCAGCAACCGAAAGAGTTTAGCACAGCTGAACTCTTGTACATCAGCACTGCACATCTGCCATCCCGAGAGAGGACACGGCCACCTTCAGCTCAAGCTAGCTGCTGCTGCTGGGGCTCTCATAGCGTAGGAGGTCCGTTCTGCGCTCTGCAGTGGTTTATGTTGAACAAACGGCTAGCGAGCAGCTGTTTTTGCAGTGCTAAACAAGCAAAGCTGCACAGAGCTGTGTGCTGATCATGCTAGCATGCTACTCTCTCGGGAGGTTTAGCCACGAACAAACATATTGTGCTTCATTTGTAGATGTATCTTCTTGGTCTTGTTGATAATCTTGCATAATGCTCTTTTTTGTTAGATTTCTCTCTATGAAACTTGGTCATTATGGGGTCTACAATGTATGTTTTTTGGTCCCCACAAAGACGAACAATCACATGCTAAAATCATATCCCCTTCCCTTTTGCAGTCGCTCCTAGTTTTAAGCGATTCCAAAGAAGTCAAAAATAATAATTTACAATCTCAAGGGTGTTTCCAAGCTAGCCATGTGCTATTGAAGCATGTAAAGCTTACAGCATTCATCTGATGGCAGCACTAGCGGCTTGGGCTTAGCATCTCTTTTTGGCTGGGTTTTGGGGGGATCAGGGGCTGCTTTTGTCCCTCTTTGGCCCGTGCCTTAGTGATGTAAATGCAGGGTGGCCTCTGGCTCCTTATCTCTAGGGTTAAGGCTCACACTGCTCTTTCCGCAATCTATTATCATAAGGGCCAGACTCCTAGCGTGGGCTGCTAGCGTTATCCATACCAAATGCAGGGCCATGCAGGGGAACGTTCAGGGGATTAGCATTTTAACACAGTGTGAGTCTAAACCCCTGAACCTCTGTCACAGAGGGTAAGTCCCCAATGGCTTGCCAGCTCACTATGTGGCACCCTAAATTAGTGTACTGGATCAGAGAGCTGGGTTGTGTTTTTGACATTGCTTTTCTTGGCTCAGAAACATTGCTTTTGTATGCTCAGTGAACAACTGGCAGTAGAGATAAAGGATTATTTTAAAGACCTAGGTTTTAAAGAACCTTACTTTTTCTAGCTTAAAGGATTTTTAGAGATTTAAAAGGTTAGATTGTGATTGCCAAGACCAGGGGTGTCCAGTCCTGCTCCTGGAGGGCCACTGTCCTGAAGAGTTTAGCTTCAACCCCAGTTAAACACACTTCAGCCTAATCAAGGTTTTCAGGAAGACTAAAAGCTTACAGAAATGTGTGCTGGCATAAAATTTAACTAAACTCTGTATGACTTTGGCCCAATAGGAGCAGGATTGTACACCCCTGGCTAAGACTAATGTTAATTGGTTCGTTACATAAAATGTAAGGTTGGACCTGACAAGTCTTCCTCTTTCTCTGTTTTCCTAGGATCCCGTCTACGGCAGGAAGATTCTCCACCTCGGATCGTAGAACACCCCTCTGATCTGATTGTTTCCAAGGGCGAACCAGCCACCCTAAACTGCAAGGCGGAGGGGCGACCCACCCCTACCGTAGAGTGGTACAAGGATGGAGAACGAGTTGAAACCGATAAAGATGACCCTCGATCCCACCGCATGCTCCTGCCCAGCGGCTCGCTCTTCTTCCTGCGTATCGTACATGGCCGTCGAAGCAAACCTGACGAGGGGGCGTACGTTTGTGTGGCACGCAATTACTTGGGGGAAGCAGTCAGTCGAAACGCCTCACTGGAAGTAGCATGTAAGTATGCGATTTCTTTAATTATTGTCTTGAGTCACAGTAACAATCAGTGTTGGAGAACTTGTTTTTTCCATGAACCCTGTGGACCAGGCTGCACCTTAATGTTCCTAAGCGTTCAATTGCACAATTCTGCTTTTGGAATACCACAACGTTTGCCACATCAAATTGTGATTTGGTATTGCATCTGACTGATTTTGGAAAAGGCCTGAATTCCCTAGTTCCAAAACAATCAGTAGGAATGATTTTGCAGTTGGCTTCTGACTTGAATTAGCTCTACATATGTTTTAGCAAATCTTAGATATATCAGTCTGTTTCGGTACAATCTGCCAGGCTTGTAGTTTTTCCTTCTGACTGAGAGATGGAAATGATAGGGCATGCCAAGGAAGTGCAAAGCAATAGACTCAGATGAAAGAGCATGCTAGGTGTGGAAGGAGGGTGTAGACACACTACACAGGAAGGCAGAATCTGGGAGGGGGGCTTATTGACAACCTGTAGATGGGTTCTGCTTTGAAGATGGGTCTCTGTTGGGTTGACTTGCATTTTCAGAGAGAGCACATACCCTGGGATCAAATCCCCAAGCTAATCAGAGACCATTATGAGTGACAGCTAACCTGTCCTCATTTGCTTTTCTACTAGACAATGAGTATGCTATTTTAATCATAGGCCTTTTTGCTAAATCATTGCTGATTAATGGACTGTTGTAGCCAAGAAACTCTTTGCCAGGCAGACCTTGTGCCTATTGTCTTGGGAGTTTGTGATCTTTGTGATCAGTGAATACATTTCAGCATCTGAAGGCATAAAGCTAGCTACACTAGCTTAGCAGAAATGCCAAAGCAAAAGTCATTAGAAATTAAGGAGTATTGGTCTTATTTCACTGGGTTTGTAGTCTAGACCTGAAGTCTAAGTGAGCCGCTATCTTGAAGTCTGTTTCAACCCCGAGCTGATCAATACTGCGGCCTCTCTTATGCATTGTTATGAAAATAGGAGCGATCCATCATGAAATAAAGATATGATGATAAATATGGAATGAATGGATAACTAAATTGGCTCTGTGTGCTGCCGCCAAGACCCCATGCAGTAATGAGTGTGTGTGTGTGTTTAGCTGTTGGAAAGGGTAACTCTAGATGAAGGGATTGTGGGAAGGTTTTGAGAGTCAGTAAATTTTGAATGCTGCTGCATTTTCTATTTTTAACCTGTAATTGATGATACAGGATGGTGATTTGGGTTAAAGGAGATGATGTTGGCGTTTAGTTTTGCAAAGGGTACTTTCGAGCTAGCAATTGCGGGAAGCTTTTCAGTAATATTTTTGAATAAATATTCTATTTTTAACCTGTAATTGATGATACACAACTGCGTTTCGGGTTATAGGGTATATATAGAAGGGTATAAAGGCAGTTTGTGTATGTTTTCACTCATGTAGCTGGCAGGGGGTGTGTGTTTTCTCTGATCCTCTCAGCTCTTCCGAGGTGGTGGTGGCGGCCCCCAGGTGCTAACTGTGTGACAGCAGCTTGATCTATCGATCGCACTAAGAGGGGTCTCCTCGCCTAAATGAAAATTCATGAAAAATTGATGAAGTCCCCAATTATTCCTTTTTTTTCTTGTATCTCTCTTTCACTTCCCCCTCTCTGTTCTCGCTAGCTCTCTACGTTTCCAGCATGGTGCTAAGTCAGATGGTTGTCTGAAACCTAATCAAAAAGGGCACGGTTTTGTGAATGAAGGTAACTTGTACGGAAACAAGACACTTGTAAGGTTTCCAAGACGCTATAACGTCATCTAATTATCCGAAGCAATATTCATACATAACCAAGCAAATTTTAAGTAGTCAAATTTTGATTCAAATATATATCATCAGACACTATTTTTATTCTTTCAACCAGATATTGGTATGCTTCCTACCTCCATATACAGTCTGCAAAGGCAGCATTTTTCAGGTTTAGACACAGTCTGAGTTGACTAAAAGAGTTAAAGTGAGCTGTAGGATGTTTTATGACTTTCAGGTGAGAGGTGAAGGGTCATAAGGTTAGCGGGACAGCGGATACTAAACCTACAGCAGGAAAGACCAAGAACTGTATTTAAACGAGACCCCTCAGCTGTGTTAGGTTACACAATTTCCACTCATAAAACTTCTCTTTACTGGTGAGTGATCACAGAAGTGAAGCCAATCTAAACCGATACAGCTCATGTATCGCTCCAAGCAAAATATGTTTCATCTGTCACATCGTAGAAATATTCTGAAGCGGTGCTGTTTTCTCAAGAAGTAAATGTTGATTTTATAGCCAGCTGTGTATATCTGATCTATATGAAATACTCCCAGACTCACATACGTATAAAACGTTCACCTCCAAAACAAACAGCTGGCCTTCAGTGACAAACTGAAAAATGTGGCGAATGTTCCAGACTGTTTTGCGACGTTCGTTTTTGGGGTTCCGACTCTGTTTACATGCCCAGTACTTTTTCATCTTTGTGTCACAAGTCGTCTCCTGTTGCGATATATGGTTCAGTCTCTCTTCCTCCTTCTCGTATGTGGTCAATCCACACCCCTGCAAGCTGAGTGAATGGCTCTGTTGAAACAGATTGCAGGCAGGCGTTCGCCGTGGACCACTGAAGCCGCCTGATCAGAGAGACCCCAAGCTGGGCTGCAGGAAGCAGAGAGAGGCCTGTGAAAGGAGCTCGCTGCATTATTAATAACGAGGCAGATTGCAAGGAGGTGTCCGCTGAAGCAGGATTATCTCAAACGCTAGTCTTTAACAATTGACCATTAGTTATGCCCCAAAGAAGATACACAGATTTTGTTACGGATGTTTGTGTCCTAGAGAGTTTAAAGCAAATCTGCAAAAGGGTTGATTTTGTCCCTATGATGAGCAAGGCACTTATCTGTCTCAGCACAATTCTTTGTCTCATGTAAACTTATTTCTGTGGGGTTTAGCGCTTTCACCTCTTAAAATGGTAAATTTCTTCATTTAAAGGTACCGAACATGTCTTTCCACTTTCCTCAACATTAATGAATCCCTTTCCTGTCATTTATATGGTCTTAATTAGAGCAGAAAAATAGAAGAGTGAAAAAGGTGCTGACAGGCCACAGGGAGCGATTGGCTGAATCCCAATTCGCATACATCTACTTTAGCCTAAAGGCACATACTTCGCTGGTAATGCATACATGCTTGAAATATATTAAGTACATATATGGCTTTTTTTTGTTAGCATTACAGTGTTTACGTTTCAGAGAAATCAACTTCCTGTGTGAATGGCATTCTTATAATTGTCTCTGCATGTTAAGCTGGGCATAATTTTTTAGCGTTTAGGCTAACAAAGATGTATTTAAGAACTGCTATGGCAGTTTCAGCATCAAATTGTTCATTTATTTTTTCCTAAAACTGAATAAGAATAAGAGCACAAGGGGTTGTGGGAAATATTAGCCTACTTAGCATACACTAACAAACTTTGCTAAACTAGATAACACTGTTTACCATTTATTGTGTACATGTACATGTTTGATATACAGTGGGACACACAAATCTTAATTTTACATACTATATAGGAAAGATAGAAAGTGAATTTGGATTGTTATCTTGAAATTAGCTTTATTTGGCTTTATCTTTTTATTATATCTCTCAGAAAAGGTTTTAAATACTATGTACTCTGTCTCTCTATGATGTATATGATGGATACATTTCGGTCTAGGCCGCACCCTGTGGCACTCCTTGCTTCTGGGAAAGATATTCTGTTCTTTTGTTGCTATTTTTCTTTCTCTGTCTCTTTATGTCTCTCTCCCACTCTCTCTTTCTGTTTCTCTCTCATGGTCTTTCTCTTCCTGGGATAAACTGGGTCAATGAGCAGGTTCATAAATCATTGTGAAGACTTTGTCAGACTGGCAAGACCTGCTTTGAATAAATTTGCCAAAGTGGTGAAATCTTTGGTCGTAGCTTGTGTACGGGCGCTATGTGACAAGCCACACCTGGGGCGCACAGTCATCCAGGAAAATGTTAATTAGCCCCTTTATCTCTTCTCAGGTGGAGAGGTGTGTGCATTATAAATCCGAGGGCAACAAACTTGTTGAACATGGGGGCATTAATTAAGCGTAGAAGGTGTGAATGTGTGTGTGTTTGTGTCTGCTAATGGTCCGCACTAATAACAATGTGAAAGTGTGCATACACTTTGAATCTTAGCGACAAAAAGTGCTGTTTCGTTCACTTGTAACCTTTAAAAAGTATGCAAATGAGGGAAGGGTGAAACAGATGTCGTTGCTGGATTGTTAAAAGGCCACCAGCCTGGGATTGGCTGGCGTTTTTGCAAAGGTTCTTTTAATATGCTTCAGCGTGGCACTTCAGCAATTAAGAGTATCGTTAGGCAGCATTTGGAACTGGTAAGATGAAGTAATTAGTGGATGCTTTCTTGTGTTAAGCTTTTCTGGTGCGTCTCAAGCTGTTGGTCTGTGTGTCCGGCATTAGTAAAATCTAATAAAAGAGGATGAAAATAATTGGACACACACAGCTAGTAGGGGTGGGCGGTATGATCGAAATCTTATATCACGTTATGAGAAATTATATATTATGGTAACAATATATACACTACCATTCAAAAGTTTGAGGTCAGTAAGATTTTTCTTAAAGAAATTAATATTTCTCAATTAAACTGATCAAATGTGACAATATAGACATTTATGATGCGGCAAAAGATTTATATTTCAAATTAATGCTGTTCCTTTGAACTTTCTATTCATCAAATGATCTTGAAAAAAAAGATCATGGTTTAGATAAAAATATTAAGCAGCACAATAACATTGATAATAAGAAGAAATGCTTATTAAGCAGCATATTAGAATGATTTCTTAAGGATCATTAAGGATTTCTTTTTTTCCTTCCTTTTTTCCTTGCATGTAAATAACATAAAGCTGCACTTCCAACTAACAGTATAGCAAAATATCCACTGGTTGACACAGTTCTGCTGTAGTGTGGTGTATGCCATCATACCACCCATCCCTAACATCTAGACTACAAACGCCCGTCTGGCTTTTA